GGATGTAACTCAGGGACAGAGCTCCCCCAAGAAAGCTGTCTTTGCATAATACTAACATGCCCACCAAGAGAAAAGGGTCAGAGGATACAAGAACTGGAAGTGGGACCCCAAGTGCCTTCATCACAGGCAAGCACTAGGCAATAAGCCCACCTGCTTCCAAGTCCCCAGCAGAGGGACCAGCTCCCCCCACCTAGTCACTGCATCACCTTGGGGCACAGAAAGCCTAGCTAGCAAGATGGGTTTGAAGGAACAAGACCCAGGGCAGGTCCTCCTGGCAGACTTGCCCAGAGCTGCCAGAGGCCAGGGTCCAGCCTAGCACTGTCGGGTTGACATTAGGTTATCTGCCACATTTCCAACTGCTCGCTGCTCCCCTAGGAGTTGAGCCAGACAGTGACTCTGCATCCCACTTGTAATAGAGGAGTTATGCAAAAGGCTGAAGAATTAAAAACCAAGTCAATCACCCCAGAGATCCCTTTCAACCATGAAACAAGAAATAGGGGCAGGGGGGCTCTAATGCCCCTGCTGGTGCATATGTTCCAAGTTTCTGGGTTTTCGTGAGGCAAAAATTATAATGTCAACTTTTCCACTTCCTTAGCATAAGTTGTTACTGATCTTGTTTTCAAGGAAAACAGACGAAAATCCCAAACCAAAATTCAATGAGGCACCACAAAGTTTGAAAACACACACACACACACACACACACACTTTTAAAAATTTTAGCCAGGATATGATGGAAAGCTGGAATGCAGACAGTAACAAATGAGTGCTACCAAAGAATCACGTAACCACTTCTCAAAAGGACAAAGGGGAGCTGACCTAAGTTCAGCTGGCTTGACTACATGTGGTAGGCTAAAAAAATTTTTTTTACTTAAAATAGGGTTGAACAAATTATGTAAAAACATTGTAGATAATAAGAGTGAGATGTTCTTATTATGTAGGAAGAAAATTTTTAAAATAAGGAAAGCAGAAAGTTTAAGTGAATCCCATGGAGTAAGATGGGGTCAGGAATCAGACCCAGGCTCTTATTTAGGGTATAGAAACAGAGCAGGGTGTTCACATGCATGGGTTGGGGTGTGTGTGTGAGTGTGTGTGTACATGCATGTGCACACGCACACACAGGGGAGGCCTACAAACTGGGACACCAGTATCAACAAGCACACTAGTATCCTCATCTTTATTTCTCCATCATTCTCCAAATAAAGAAACCAGGGCTCCTTGGATTAGTGATTGGTTGCAGGTCTGGGGCAAGGAGCATACAAAGAGGTGAGCCTGCAGCATCTCAAGGTGCTCCAGAAAGCAATAAAAGATAGGGGAGAGGGACAGAAAAGGAAAGGATGGAGCCACACCAAAGGCCAAAGGCCCAACCTGAAAGAGCTCTTATCAGTAATAACCAGTGGGGGGTGGAGCGGGTTGAACTGCGTCCCCCAAAAGACATGTTGACATTGAATTCCCAGCATCTGTGAATGTGACCCTATTTGGAAATAGGGTCTTTGTAAATGTAATCAAGACAGAGTCACATTGGATTACTGTGGGCCCTGAATCCAATGACTTGTGGCCTTATAAGGAGGGGAAAGGACGGAGACATACACACAGGGAAGAAGGCCATATGAAGACAGAGATCATGAGGCAAAGCAGCTGCCAACCTAGAAAGGCCAAGAGCCACCACCCGCCACTGACCGCAGAAGTTAGGCAGGAGGTGTGGGCCTGATTCTCCCATGGAGCTTTAGGACTCAACTCTGCATACAACTGGATTTCAGACTGTAGCCTCCTGAACCGTGAAAGAATAAACCTATGTTGTTTTAGTTCACCCAGATTTTAGTCATTATTGGGAGTCCTAGGAAACTATTACAGATGGTAAAATTACCAGATGACATTTTAAGCACAAATAAAGTGTGCATCTAATTCCAAAGTATCTCCTCACAAACATTTATTCATTACAAGGGAAAAATAGTAACTTTACCAGAGTGACACTTGCTGGACACCACTTCAACCCCACGATCCAAGTGGATATCACTAGGTCATCACACAGCTTTATCATGTCCCCTTAAGATGACACAATGGGAAGCATATGTCACCCATGTGTTATCCTTTCTCTAATGTAAAACCTCTATCTAATTATGAGAAACAGCTGGAAAACCTAAGTTTCAGGCATTCTACAAAAGAACTAGGAAGTACAAAGTCAAAATCATGAAACACAAGATCAACCTGTGCTAAGAGCCATAGCCAAGTAGTATGATGCATGGCATTTTTGGTTGAAAGGTGACGCCAGCAAGCCATTGAGATGATATGATTATATGTTAAGATCTGCATTCATATGGATATTAGACCCCTGCTGTCCACCTCGGCCAGCTACGGGACTCCTGGAGAGTTCCCATTGGTTGGGGAAGTGCGGTAGGAGGGAATTCCAGAGGAGGGATTTCCTGTTGCCAGTCTGGGAGAACTCCGCGTGTGTTGGTCGGCATTTTTTCCCCCCGGGAGTGTACGGAGCATTGGCGGGGAGTTTCAAAAATAAAGTTTGTTCCTGCTTGAGTGGCTCATGATTTTGTGCCCAGCCAGACTGCGGCAAACCTGGAGAACAATCACAGGGGCAGGAGACTGAGACCCATCAATGCAATGCAATGCAATGGGTGACCATGGAATAGAAAACGAATATTGGTGGGACAACTCTTGAGAGCCAAATAATTTGTTGTTTAATTCTTTGGAACAATGCTAATTTTTTAGTTCTGATCATTGTTGTCTGGTCATATACAACGTTAACATACAGGGTAACAGAGTGAAGGCTATACATGAACTCTGTATTTCTTTTCTTAACTCTTCTCTATGTCCAAAAGCATACCCAAATTTAAAAAATAATTATGGGGGGGGGTAGAAGTACAACAAGAGGTAAAATCTAACAAGGAACCTCAGTCAAATGAGCACTTGAATTTTCAAGACCTAAAAAATTGGGTCCTGTAAAAGTAAGCTCAATAAATTACACTACCTCGACTGTATCTTCAGTGTACAAGGTACCCAACCATTGGATCATTCAGAACAACACATTGTTTAATGTTTTTATTTTTAACTCTGCTTTGGTAGTACAAAAGTTGCAAAAGTACAAACCAGACAGTTAAAAATACATTTGACACTCAAAACAGTGAAAAAAGTTCCTTTACAAATGTTTACATCAAGGTGGTGGCCAACTCATTTATGACACCAAGAAGCTGTCCATCATTAGTGTTTTGGATAGTAAGTTTAATGTGGATCCCAATCCTTCTAGAGAAGGAGGAAAAAACACAAGACCTGTAAACATCGGTTGCTTTGGGAACACTTAAGAATTCTCATCAGAGAATATAAACCAGAAAAAAGCGTATGTGTTGAAAATATTGAATGCTTAACTTTTGGCATATCTGTAAGCCAGTCAGACAAAAACTGCTCAAGTATTAGAAAATATTTAAAATGTACCCTTGGTATAAATACAATCTTAAATATTTCTGAGTATTCTCTTGCCTATGGTATTGCTATAAAAAAAGTGCTCCAACTTGAATAAAATTAAAACATCATTAAAGCTGAAGAATATCTTACACTTATCCCTCACCATTCAGAGGGCATATTTTTAAAGCAAAAATATTATGCTTTATTTTTATGTAAATCTATTGGCCTAAACCCCATATATATTATTTACATTAACACACACCCCTAAAATTTCTAGACTAGTACTTGATGGACCCAGTGAATTTGCATAATGACTTCTGTCCTATGTATATGAATGTACACACATATTTCATTTATTAGTTGTTAGTAAGAATTCACATGAAATTAAATCTACCATCATTTTCAAGGTTAAAAATATTTAGTTTAATGCCAGAAACAGAATCAAGTAAGTATATTTACAGTAATACTTGGAAATATATTTTTACAGAAACAATTTTTGGGAGCCAAATGAGAAATGTGCTTTTTCTCTTTGAAATAAAAGAAGTACTGAAGGCACTCGCTCACCAACACTGATGTGGACGGAGAGAGGAAGGTGGGAGAGACATGTACCTCACCTAACCACAGATCTACCAAAAATACTAACCTGGCCTCTATGTTCTCAGTTGCTCCTTAAAATGTAAAGTTGGAGGGAGAGGGAGGGAGGGAGGAAAGGAGAGAGACAGAGTGAGTGAGTGAGTGAATGAGTGTGTGTGTGTGTGTGTGTGTGTGTTTCCCAGGCCACTAGGAGTCTTAATACCGAGCATTAGTTATGAGATTGGAAGCAGGAACACAAGGACAGGCAGGCAGAAGTTCGCACAGGTCCAGCTTATATGACAAGTGGGTTGTTTTGTTTTGGCCGCAAGTTGGTCAAAACAAGGATTTTTATTTATTTATTCGTACTGGGGATTGAACCCAGGGGTACTTAACCACTGAAACATATCCCCAGCCCTTTTTACCCCATTATTTTTTATTTTGAGACAGGGTCTTGCTAAGTTGCTGAGGCTGGCCTCAAACTTGTGATCCTCCTCTCTCCACCCCCTGGGTCTCTGGAATTACTGGCATGTGCCACCATGCCCGGTTTGAAACAAGGATTTGTGAGTGTGTCTGTGTGTGCCTTTAAACCATTTTCCCCCATTATTAAGTGGATTAAATAAATGAGAATTGCTTAGCTCAAGTTTAAAAAAAAAAAACCCTCTTAACATTAGATAAGTGACTGCTATGGTTTAAATGAGGTGTCCCCCAAAAGCTAGTGTGAAACAATACAAGGAAGTGTATAGGTGAAATGATGGGGTTTTGAGCCTTAACCTAATTACTGCATTAAATCCACTTGAACGGATTAAATGGATGGTGTCTGCAGGCAGGTAGGGTGTGGCTGAAAGAGTTAGGTCACTGGAGGCATGCCTTGGTGTTTATATTTTGTCCCTGGTGAGCAAGAGCTCTCTCTTTCTCTGCTTCCTGGTGCCATGTCCTGAGCTGCTTTTCTCTGTCACACTCTTTCTGCCATGATGCTCTGCCTTATCTCAGGCCAGAGCAATGGAGCTGGCTGCCTATGGACTGAGACCTCTGAAACCATGAGTGCCAAGTAAACTTTTACTTCTCTAAAATTGTTTTTGTCAGTTCTTTCGATCACAGCAGTGAAGAAAATAACCAAAACAAAACTGACTAAAACAGTGACCTGGGAGTGGCAAGGTGGTAGCAGAGTTAATGCTGAATTCTTGGACTAGGAAGCCAAGGTCTAGCATCTGGTCCCACTGGACTCCCCATCTCTTGGAGGATCAATTTCTCAGTACTAGACTAGATTATTTCCAAGGACCTTTTGTCACTCAAGTTTCTTTGTTTGTAACAGTCTGGCTAGGAAATCTAATGTGCGAGACAATGCAAGGAAGGTTAGAGGTGAAATGATTGGAGATTTTCTTGCAATCAGTATCAAAAGGGGATGGTAAACTTTGGGGGGATGGAAAGGGAAACACACATATACACAGAGCATGAGCTCAGACTATACAGGACTAATTCCACAGTATGTCACATAATGATCCTAAGGGGAAACAGTGTGTACCCCAAGCCCAGGGATAGACAACTGGGACAGATGGTGGCTGGGGGCCGCTGACAAGATTAAAAAAATGAGCTCTTTCCCTCCCTGAAAATGTAATACATTTTTTCAAGACACTTTTTAAACCAAAACTTGTTTCAAAGGAAACTGAATTCTGTTTCTAGCACAGTAACAATATTCCCTTTGAGGCTGTATCCACATGCCGGCTGGCTTCATGATAGAAATTGTATAAAATATATAAAAATATTCCTTAGGCGACTTCATATCTTGTAAATTTTCAGTCTCTTAGAACTCTTCAAATAAAGTCACTGCTGCAAGAGAAAATAAAGAAGGAAAGCTTTAACAAGAGGTAAACATAACACATCTTGATCTGATAATTCAAATAACTGAATATTTAAACACACAAAAGATCTGTAACCCATGCTCTGTCCTTCACCCATTTATACATGGTATCTAGAACCCAGTCTAAGGAAATTAAGTACTACAATTCCAAAAAGAACCCCATTTTCAAGGTCTGCGAAACCAAAAGATGGAGAATGAGAACCCCCGCAGCATGGAGCATCAATCTGTTTTACACATGCTTCTCGGGTGGCAGGTGGGCTCCTTGTCCCCGTGAGTTATTCCTTATCATTCATTCTCCAGGGGAACACGTTCTTCACCTCCTTCACCACACTCTCAGGTGATGAGTGCAGAAGGAAGATCCTCATTCACATGGAACCTTGTATGCATCCAGTAGGGAGTCTCTGAAGCCACACCAAATGGAGTGAACCCTGGTCTCTACTGGGCTCAGGGCAGCTCAACTGGGATTCCATCAGACAAAGAGAACACAATCATGGAATGCTTAATCTTTGGTCTTTGTTGCCTTTGGGGGTATATGTCTGTTTTTGCCATGTGGGGATAGAAACCAGGGCTCACACACGCCAGACCAGTCTCCACTACTGAGCTATGCTCGGATCCCTTAGGTCTTCATTGTACTTGAGGGTTCTGGTTGTATTTTTAAGTCTTTCCAACAACTGCCCTTGTTATTACAAATAAAGCCCCATATTTATAAGTTTTCTACTTTCCAAAAGACTTTTTACAAATACCTCATCACTGACAGTCTTGTTCCCTTTGCTTTCTTGAAGACTGAGTTAACCCAGGATGGGACTAAAATTATAAAAGCCACCAGTGCACAAGGAACCACACACACACACCATGCAGGTGAGCGAGACAAGGTTAAGGGACAGAACATCCTCCAGTCTGCCAAAACTGTGTCTTTCGTAAGTACTAAGCAAAAGCGGAGATGCAACAGTCTGAAGAAATATGAATAACAAAAATCAGTAGAGGTGCCTTACTTTAAGGACATATTATTTATTTTACAGCTCACCTTTCAAGACATGTACTCTGATATCATCCTATTATCCTTTTCTGTCATTCATAATGATTTACAATGATTATGAGAGAGGAGAAAAAAGGGAAGAGATATTAATAATTAAAATTGATTTCCCAAATGAGAGGAGTTAGGTAAGAGACTGTGTTATCCCCTTAGCTAAAAAAGGAAATGAAACCCTGTTCCTTAAAGTGACATGAATCAAATTTAAATTATAATGAAATAAGTCATTCTCTGCAATGCATTGCCACTACTAGCAGGGCTGAGCCACACATTGGTCTATAAAGCTGACCAAAGTCCAGTCAAAGGCTACTTTTAGGAAGGAGTCAATAAAGAAGAAATAATCCAGCACAGAAAAAGCCAGAAGGGCCAGCAATGAAAAAATACATAAATGGTACTAGAAAAAAAGAAAAAGAAAAGGCAAAACATGTTAAGATTTTCCAGAAAACCTTAAACTAGGCCATTATCTAAAAAACAGTTATTCCACTATTTTTATGTCTCCTCTTTATGTGCTTCTTAGACCTAGATATTTTTGTATCAAGAAAAATAACTGAGTCAAGGGCACAGGATGTCAGGCCTGGTGTGCAATGTTCCACTGCACTGACAGATTTCACTCCAACCTAGGAGAACTTCAAATTGAGAGTGTTTTGCAACAGATTCAACCAATCTTAAGGAGTCGACAAGCAAGACCACAAGAAGGACTAACAATGAGGAATCTGGCCTAGAAGCCTGGATTCAAGTACAGACTCCCATTTCTAACTGTTAAACCTGTGCTATCCCTGTAGCCTGCTCTTGTAGGGTTGCTGGGGGCTTTATGTAAGATGGTGTATGCACAATGCATTATATGGGGCCAAGCATTCAGAATACTCCCAGAGTAGCTATTAGGACCATCATCCAATTCTCTGCTCTAAACAATCACATTAGCTTTCTTCAACAGCTGTCTTCTGCAGCTGATTAAGACTACACTGCGCAAATATCTTTGAGAGAATAATTAAAAGATATATGCTGCTTCAAGCCCTTACTACTAATATCAGAAACTAAGCAGAAATAGGTAAATCAATCTTTTTAAAATTCTTGCAATTCTGGTCTCTCCTTCTAAACACACAAATCCTAAAAAGCAGCACTTTAGTGGCATGATGCTATGAATATTCAGGTAAATATCTTATAATGATGATCTACAGGGAAAGAAGACACCACATGCTCTATGACTTGTAAATTTCTAACTGTGGCCTTATTTCTGGTAGTGTAATGAGGTGCCTAAAAATTGCAGGCTGTGTTACAGTACATTTTCACATTGCTAAATTCCTTCTTATTTCATTCCACAGTCTTGAATACATTCTCACTGATGAACAAATACCTACTTTGAAATCGTAGTAATTCTTTACACTATGCACCAATAAAAATGTTGGGAAATTTGGTAGTTACAGTTTTACACAGAGTGCTCAAGTTGGAAGAAACTTAGTAAAACTTCCTTATACTGAAAACACAATTCAAAACTCCCAAGTGTAACCACTTCCCTCCTGAAACAAGACTGATGGACAAAACTTAAGACTTTCACTACCAAAGACTTATCTGGATCAAAGGAAGACTATCTTTTTCATTAAAGCTCATTGTTCACTGCATCATCTTAATTGTAAAGATGAAGCCACAGTTTTATCATTGTTAGTTTCCACAGAAGCTTCAGTGTTTTAGGATTTATGTGTGCCTTGTTAAAAATGACCTTCTAGTAAAAAGGATCTGGTCCCTTTAAAAATTAGAAAAATGTTTCAAGAAACTAGAAACCTGTGCAAATTAATGGATACTGTGTGCCAGACCACAAAGGGCAGGGTGTTAAGGAATGAAAACACTTTCTGATTAATAACAACAGCACTGACATTTGCAGTCTTTCTAAGTGCCAGGTACTGGCAGGCTAAGTACTCCAGGTTCTTTAACTCAATCTTTCCAATAACTCTATGAGTCAGTGACAATTCCCATTTTCACAGGAGAACACTGAGGCTTACAGATTCTATTACTTGTCCAAGACCATACAAATTCCGAGAGGAAAGCTGGGAGTCTGCTCCAGGTGGTCAGACCTGGAAGGTAACATGGGCATGCTCACACTGCAATGTCATCTGATCTCCAGGGCGACATCCAGGCATCACTGATCTGGTACCCTCACTTCTCTGCTCCCCACCTACATGGGAGGAGGGCAAAAGGAGGAAAATGCAGAAGCCAGAAACACTGGTAGGGCCTTTCCAGGGAAAGTCATTATGGTCATGGGAACAGTTAAATGATGCCAAAAGCCTACACTGTAAAAGACACCCAGTCCCAAAGAAGATCAAAAGTGCATCTGTAGGACGGGGTATGGTTCAGTGGTAGAGCTCTTATCTAGCATGCTAGAGCTCTGGTTCCATAAAAGAGAGAGAGAGAAAGAGAGAGAGAGAGAGGGAGACAGAGACAGAGACAGAGACAGGAAGAAACTGCACCTACAGGACACTGAATTCTGAAAACATTGAAAGGCACAGGCCACAGGCACACACAACTTGAATAATAATTTTCTAGAACACTTTTAAATAAAATAAATGGGAAAGTTGTTTATAGAAACAGAGTTATAAAGATTATGAGATCAAAATTCACAACGAAGTCCTGGGTCTACATCTATGTGATCATTTACTGATAATCTGTGATTTCTGTTGGTAATTTAAAGGCTCAAAACTCTTAGTGAGAAGATTTTCTTGTACTAGGTTTTCCTGAACACTGTGTGGTCACATGCCCACAGATAGTAATTACCACAGACACGACACTAGCAGCCTGTAGTAGCCCTACCTACATAGGGTGGCATCTTGGCATAGCAATTACCACAGACATGACACTAGCACCCTGTAGTAGCCCTACCTACATAGGGTGGCATCTTGGCATAGCAATTACCACAGACATGACACTAGCACCCTGTAGTAGCCCTGCCAACATAGGGTGGCATCTTGGCAGGTGCAGATTAATGGGAATGCATCAGAGTGTACTTAGGGGTTTATAGTGCTTTAAATCTTTCTCTGGTATAAATTGTGTGTTAAATCCTATAAATTAATATTCACACCTTGCTATTTTACCTTTTTACTTTTTTTATTTTTTGATAGTGCTGGGGATATAGCACCCAGGGCCTCCCTTGCCCATTCTAGATAAGGGCTCAACCACTGAGCTACACCCCAGCCCTTATGCAGTCTATTTACCTCAGAGTGTCTCAGAATGATCAGAACTTGCTTTAGACTTGGCTTAAATATTAATGAAAATTGCAAATTCCTTGGATCACACCCCAAACGTACTAAATCAGAATTCACGGGGCTAGAGCCCAGGAATTTGCTTTCTTACAAGGTGCCCAGGTGACGCTAACACACATATAAAGGTTTAAGCCATGAGGTCAAACCTATTACTAACATTTGTCAACTGATTAATAACTGTAAGAATTTAAGTTGCTTCAAAAATTTTGCAAACATAACACTACATAGTAAGCTTAAAATATATATATATACATATATGTGTATATATATATATACATACATACATATATATATATGTTGTATACACACACACACACACACACACACAAAAGAAATGGGGGAGAAGACATAGAACCATTTAGGACTGAAATGTTAACTAAAATTATCATCTCAATTTGAGTTATAAAATTCTTGAATTACTGAATCATTTTTAACTTATTTCAAAGCAGATTGGAACTAGAATTTGGCTAATCTGCCCAGATCTTCCTTTTCTTTTTTTGGGGGGGAGGGGGCAGGGTGCTGGGGATCAAACCCAGGGCCTCACAAGGCGTGCTTAGAGCATGCTGTGTTGCTAAGCCACCCCCCCCCCCCCCGCAGTCCCTACAGGCCTTTTAATGACCAGAGGAACACCCTATTATCACATCACACCTGTTAAAGAGTCACTGAGAGCCAACTATGTAAAGGGTGC